GAATTAATTACACCCTCCTTTTGAATTTTTGACTATTTTATTTATTCTTTCTGCCTCCAATTCATCTAATTTATTTTAAATTTCTTGCTTCTCCTTTTTATATTTATTTTTTAATTTTTTTCCCTTTTTTCGTAATTCGTTTATTATATTTATTAACTGATCGCGATCTTCAATTATCTTGCTGATTTGATTTTCTAATTGTTCTTTTCTATTTTCAGCTTCTTCGTTTTTGTTTTTTAACAAAGTTAATTCTCTTAAAAGTTCTTTGTGTTGCGCTTTAAGATTTAGTTCATTATTTCCGAGGTCTTTAATAGTAGCTTCAAAGCTTTTGATCGTGTCTTCGAGGGTTTTAATTGTATTTTTTAATTCGGTTCCTTGTAATTCAAGGAATGTTTTTCTTTCATTAGAAGTGGCGTTCTTTTCTTTTAAATTGGTAATTTCCTTTTCCAAATCAATGTATTGTGTTTTCAAAGTACTTAATTCGGATTTTAGCACATAGTTTTCTACTTTTAATGCATTATTTTCGGTTTCAAAAAATTTCACATTTTTCCAAAGGTTATACTAGAATTATAAACAGTATGTTATTTATTAATGCATTTATTATTTTTTTGTGTGAAAACTTTGAAACAAACTTTTTTGAAAATCTCGGCATTAATTGTTTCGATTAAGTTACTAATGGTAGTGTTGTTTGTCTAAAAATAAAATTTGTTAGCACAAAAGATAGATACATAAATATTATTTATGTGCAAGAATACCTTTTGATAGTACCAAAAAAGAGCTAAAATTGAAAATGCGATGATTGCAGTTAAAATTTTTTTTAATTTTTTATATTTTTAATCATTAGTGCATAGGAGAACATAAATTTTTTGTGTTTGACTTTGTCTATCATTAGAGCATTTTTTTGATTTTGTCACCACGGGTTGTAAACCACTATTATTTATTGGTGCTGTTTGAACTTTGGCAATTTTGTTAGTGATTAATCGTTCATTGTCTGACGATGAACAATCAATTAATTCACAACAATCCAGACCATCAGACGTGTAAGTTTCTGAGACAGAATCTGAGGTTTCAGTTAATGAATCATTATCAACATCGATAGTAATTTCTGATACATTATCAATGATCCTTTTTGATTCTTGTTCTAGTAAACAAAAATATATTCATAACTAATACGTATAAGAAAATTTACTATAAGGTCATTTGAAGTTAATTCTTTGGTTAACATCACTTTCAGAACTTTTGGAAGAGACAAAATAAAACGAACATATAAAAATGGAGCAATTTCATTGGTCGATTTAAATCAAGTGATTGGTGAGTATTATCCAGCGTTTTGATTGGTGGTTCATTTTTCGGGAGAGACTTCAGTTGAGGGGAGGGATGTTAACCAAAGAATTAACTTCGAATGCCTAAAGAACAAAAAGTAATTAATTTTATACTGTTGGTATAAATTCGTGCAGCCGTAAAAAACTCGTTTGTAAAATTATTTTTACCTCTAATGTTTCTAAGTTGACCATGAATCTTCGATTGATTAGAAAAGGTGACACCTTGCTTTAAAGAACCTGGAAATTTTGATTTATATCTTTCATAATTGATTTTTGATAAGCGAACATCTGGAATTTCATTTCTACTAATATGAGTCAGAGTCATTATTGTGTAGAAATTCTTGAGATTTTTAAAAAGAAGCAAACGAACACACGCTCCTTATAATCTGACCTATACTTAAAAAATCATGCGAATATTTATTTGTTTTATTCTAAACTTCAATTGATGTCCTTCAATAAACTCCTTAATGAAATCTCATGTAAAATAAACTTTTCAGGCTTCAGAATCGCGTGTTTCAGTAAAAATATCAGTATTATTATAAAGCGTCCAATTACAGTCATATCTAATACTGCTGTACTTTAAGATTTATATTGACCCTTAACATTCTTTTCTGATGTGGAAACTCACGTGAAATTCTATTTGTTTGCGTTATTGCACTAAAAAAAGATCTTGATTAAGAGATTATTTTTTTTGAATTATACAATATCGATATCAAATGAATTTTGTATACTGTATTGCCAAATTTGGCACCAATATAAAAAAACTACTCTAATTTAAGTTCAATTTTGGTTTTATTTAATAGAAATTACATTATTTTCATTTACTTTATCGATCTCAAAAACTTGTTTTATGCCATTCTGACAGAAGTACTCCAACAATTGATTTACATCAACCAATCAGACGAACGGCGCGTTATCGTTATTGTATATGGTACAAATTTTTATCTGTAGTTGGCTAATTACGCGGTGCATCTCGTGATTTTTTAGATCCAAACGTCAGTCTTAAGCTATACTTCGGACAATGCGCAAAGGTGATTTCTTAGGCAAAATTTTTTGCTGAGATAAATGTGATTTTTCAAACAAACAATTGTTTTTAATTTTTACGTTAAACCTGATCTTGTTTTTGATTGGCGGTAAATGCGTCACATTATTAATGCGAAAATCTTTGAATTTACTCAAATTATTTTCAGACGGCCTCTGAATGCTATTAGCATATCAGCATTTTTCTTAATTTAATGACTTTCATATGTTGAAAGTTTCTGGTATTTAAAAAAAATTATAATCAAAAATAAAAAAAAAGCAGTATACCTTCAACTACGAACTACACCTCTTAAAACAGTTTATTAAATGAAATAAATTCTTATATTTATATATAAATCTTCGATTTAAATAAACCATTCAGCTAAATCATAATGATAAAATAAAATTTTGATTCTTTGGATAAACTGAATTGTTACAAAGATAACTGATTTGTAATGTCACAATAAAAAAATTAGCTCCGATACTCAAATGGATTTTCTGAAAGGAAAATTTGAGAATGAATTGTTATTATTTTGGATGCGAATTATTTGGTTGTTGTTAAGGTTTCATAAAAGATCTAATTTGATTAAAGTGGTGTTTAAAAAGAGGCTTTTTAAAAATGATTCGATAATAGTAAGTGAAAATTTGTTTTCTCGAAGACCTAAAAATTGTAAGCTTTTGTTTTCACTAAGCGCGTTGGCAACCAAGGATCCGTCTTTACCTAGCTCGTTGTAGTTAAGATTTAAGGAGAGAAGGGTGTGAAGCATTTGGGCAAGTGTGGCGCAATTGTTACTGTCGAGCATGTTACTTGAGAGATTTAGATATGTTAGTGTAGTATTTTGACATAGGGCGTTTAGAATCGTGTTTCCGTCGCTGTAGGTAGTAAAATTTCCACTTAAGTCGAGGTGTTTTAAGGAGTTATTTTGGTGCAAAGAGTAGGCGATTTTGGTTTTGATATCTGACCCGAGTTGATAGTGACAAAGTTTAAGGATGGTCAATGTTTGGACGAGACAAAAGTTTTCAAGCAGGATCCCTTGGCAAGTATATAGGTTGAGTGAACAAATAGTAGTGTTTTTTTGAAAAGCTAAGAGTAAAGTTGTAATATGTTTGGGTTCAAGTTCCATGCTAATTAACTTTAACATAGTAATGAATTTGTTTCTATTGAGTAGTTCTGTAAATTTTTCCCAGACAATAGGGAATGAGCTAATGACTAAGGTATCAAAGTTGGTATTGA